GAGAGAATTCTTCAGGAGCCGAGGAATCCTGAGGGGTCGTCGACACTGGTCAAGTTGAGTTGGAAGAGCATTGTTGCCGAAGGTTCATTCTGCTCATGTTGAAGCTTGTGGCGCCCACCACGATAAATTTGTTTGGGAGAAAAGAAGCCTAGGACGAGCTTTCTTTTACCTCTTTTTCATGTTTTCACTTTAAAATCATTTTTATTTGTTTAAATTGTTACCGTACCAAAGAAATTCAAAGTATTTAAGTTAAAACTAAATTACATTAATATACACTATTTAATTCTAATTTGAAATAACTGTGTTAATATTTAATGAAAACAATGCATTTTACTAAAATTTAAATGACGTTGCATACAAAATTTAATTTTGGTTCATGTTCTACAACTTGACCATAGTCTTGTATTGATTGATGTTAGGACTGTATTAAAATCAACAACAATTAACTTTAAAGATTAATTATGTTGGATGTCGCTTTCTCATTACCGGATGCTTTTGCTTTCTGATATCACATGGCTGGTGAAAGATGATGTTATCAAAATCTAGTAAACTACTAAATAAGTGTGTTGAGCTTGTCAAATATTGTTTGATTTAATTTTCAAGCATTTTTGTAGGTCAAATTAACATATACTATAATGAATATCAGACATGTTCAAAACTTGTTACAACATGTAGCATTTTCCAACATGTAGAATATGTTCCTAATTTGGAGTAATATTTATTTTGTCGACAATTGAGTCTCACTAGTGATTACCCGAGTCCCATACGTTTACCTGTAACTAATCATAATAGATCAAAGTTTCAAAAAAAAAACTAATCATAGATCATGCACTTACATATATACGTATTTTTCTTTAAAAAAAAAAACATATTTACGTACCACTTTTTTTTTTGAAAAACAATTTACGTACCACTTTATGAGTACTTATTTCTTAGAATTGTCCTTTCAAATGAATTTTATTTGTATCATCTTTAGTGTGGATGCAGCTAGGTCCTCTCTATGAAATTCCTTCAATCTGATTTAGCAAAAAAAAAAAAAATTCCTTCAATCTGTGTATACTTTTCTATTGATTGAATTCAAGCATTATATTCCAGCCAAGAAAAATGATTTGCTAATCACTAATAGTCTTCCGAAATACCAGTGATTTCTCTTTTGGTCCGTTTAGAAGAAATACAGGATCGTGTTAATTATTATTGGGTTTGATTTGACAGGATTGATCATTATGGAGACCATCTTCCCAACTATCACTATTAAGTTTGATTTTGATTTTTGATAATAATGTCTTTGTTGTTTTCTATTAATTATACATTCAAATTAGCTGAAAGATTGACCTAAACTTTTAGTTTTTGTCCCCTAGCTTTAATTAGGGTTATTAATATAACATATCATTTCTGATTTTATAAATAATAGTAATAAAAAGTGATACATGCTGTCTACAACACTCTTTTTACACAACTAGGTGAACATCCGCGTCTACACACGGTAATG